CTCAATACCTCATCCCCACAATCTTTACATAATATCATCATCAACAGTTGTTGTTTTTTTAAAGCAAGAGAAAATCAGACAGGCAATGTGGAGAAAATTATGAAGCAAGAAGTAATAGAACATATAAGAATGATTGAAACTCAGTGGAAAGCAATTAATGAGGATAAGCCTACAACAAGCCTATAGAGCTGTGATGGCGAACCTATGGCACGCGTGCCACAGGTGGCACACGTAGCCATATCAGAGGGCATGCCAGCTCAGCTCTGGCGCGCATGTGCATGCCGGCCACCTGATTTTCAGGCCTTTTGGGCCCACCAGAAGTAAGGAAACAGGCTGTTTTCTGCCTCCAGAGGGCCTGGGGGTAGGTGGGGAAGGCTGTTTTCACCCTCCCCAGATGCATAGAGAGGATCTGGAGCCAGGTGAAAAGAAAAACGGGCCAGGAGCAAGGGGGGAGGGGGGGTTGGGTGCACATGTGCAGGGCGGGGCACATAAAATTATGGGTGTGGCACGCGCGTGCGCGAACCTCCCCCCCTTCCTGGCATGTGATGGCAAAAAGGTTAGCCATCACTGCTATAGAGGCTTCTGCTAAAACAACTCATTAACATGTATAAGAGTAAGGCTATGCTCCTTCATAGCCGGAAACACAACAGGACATAGATGTCTAATTTGCTTAGTATAAGTTTCAAAATGGTATAAAAAGCTCTACTTCCAATATGCAGCTTAAACATTAAACTGGAACTTGCTGCTATAGAATAGAAAAAGAAGGGCACATTTTGTTGTTTGTTCAAGAAGAGTAACTTGGTGGAGAGAGAGAGAAAGGATTGTTCAGAAATCATCACCTCTAGCCTCAAATCAGATCAATCCTTTCAATATTCCAACACTATAAGTTTTAAAGAAGATGCTGGATAACCATTTGTCTGAAGTGGTGTAGGATTTCCTGCCTAAGCAGATATAGACATGGCATGATATTTGAATATCTTTTCCAACACTTTCATGGCTGATCCACTGAATGCTAGTTTGCAGCATATTTCTTGACTGCTTGTCTTTTATTACTGATGGTTGATTGAAGTGGCTAGCACCACTTCGATATCTTCATTGTCTTTTTAAAGGCTACTTGTTCAGCCTGTTGTCATTAGTTTGGTCTTCTTTATATTTAATTTTAGTTCATTTTTTCATTGTTGTGGTTGACTTTTAATACCAGGCCTTGCAGATTCTTTGCATTTTTAACTATATGAGTAGGGTCATCAGCGTAGCATGGGGAAATGAGATGTTCTGGGATTCCCATTTTTCTGAGTACATTCCATAGCTTGACATGATTGACAAGATCAAAGGCACTTCTATAATCAATGAAACACATACTGACTTCTTTTTGGTATTCTTTGGTTTTCTCAATGCTCAGAGTGCATCAGCAATAATGTCTTGTGTTTCTCGGCCCTTCCTAAAGCCAGTACAAACATCTGGTATATCTTTTTCCATATAGGGCCATAGATATATAGACCTTGAATATTTAGTTTTGGTCAGACTAGATGTTTTTCTGTAATTAAAGTTTCTTATTATTACTATTCTGTTATCAAATCTGTAGATTTGGTGCTGCTTTATCATTACTGCTCATCCAGAATTGTGTTGGCTTCACTTTAATAATGTATTAGGCCTTACATTTTTCCATCCATTTTTTTCCCTCCACATACCATATATTGCCAAATCAGCTACTATCTGCTTTTTCTAAAAGTTTGGAGAAGCAATTCAATTCAGTGAAGAGATATACGAAGTAGTCATGCTGCTTCAGCTCAATCGAACTGGACACTTTCTTAATAATATACTAAGTGCAAACATCTCTTCTTTTGTAGGAAACCAATTTGAATTTTTGCATCACCTTATCAATCTTGTTTAAGTCAATTTCTTTTTGAAGTGACATTGCTAAAAGGCACAGATCAAGATATATATCCAATCTATTTAATTAATGTGGTGTGACTTTCTTGTGTGAAAAAGCATTTCCTTTTTGGAAACCCATTATTCACTCTACTCCAACTTTCTTTATAGTGACAAGAACTAAATAAGCTATCAAGAGTATGCACTGAGTGGCTGGGATCTTATGTAACCATCTTGACATTTGATCTCTAGAATCACCTTGGGAAGTATGGGGACTACATCAGTTGGCTTGTGATATGTATGTCAACTTTGTGTCCTATTTTTCTTATTTTGAAAGTAGAAGAGAAGACAATGTTTTTCAGTAGACTTGATAAAAAAAAATCAGGCAGTACTAATCATTGAAACTGTGAGCCGTGGTGGTGCAGTGGTAAGAATGCAGTACTGCAGGCTACTTCTGCTGTCTGCTGGCTACCAGCAGTTTGGCAGTTCGAATCTCACCAGGCTCAAGGTTGACTCAGTCTTCCATCCTTCCGAGGTCGGTAAAATGAGGACCCAGATAATTGGGGACAATAGCTTACTCTGTAAACCGCATAGAGAGGGCTGTAAAGCAGTATGAAGCTTTATATAAGTCTAAGTGCTAAAACCAGTTGTCCAGCAGGGAAGTGAAGAAGCACCATTAAGTGTGACTATCTTCCTCCTCAGAGAGGCCACGGGAACCACTCCAGAGAGCCTAAAAAGGTAGAAAGGAACAAGCAGCTAGTATTACATTGTTATTTTTGGGCGCTGCTGCTGTTACCAACTTTTCTAAGAGCTCCTCTGTCTTCCTCCTGGAGACCAACAGGATGAGGGACCACACAGGTTTATTAGATGTGTGTGGGGGGGGGGGGGGGGAAGAGGCAATCAGAAACTCCCTAAGTGGCCCATTTTCCTCACAGCATGTCATTATAAAAAGTATGTTACAATAGGAGCCAGTACTGTTTTTCTCTCATTTGAGCAAGCAAGTGTCAAAACTAAAACTACTAATGAAGATTTTGTGAAATTTTCATCTTATGGAATGCATTTAGGAAAATACTTTTAAAGAGCATATCAAGACATAAACAATGTACCCTAACCAAAGAGAACTGTGCAGGTTCACATGAAGAACGGTTGCAGGAATTAGGTTTGGCTAGGACTAAGGGGGACATGATAGCAGGATTCCAGTATTTGAGGAACTTTCACAAAGAAGAGGGCATCAACTTATTTTCAGATGCAATTATAGTAGTAAATGCATTTTCTTTGCTCTCCTCAAAGTTGTGCATGCAGTAGACTTTGAGCGGTGGAACAACTTGCCTCCAGAAAGTCAATGCACTGAAATTCTGGAAGTCAACGCACTGAAAGTTTTTAAGAAGAGATTGGACAGCCATTTGTCTGAAATGGTATAGGGTTTCCTGCCTGAGCAGGAGGTTGGACTAGAAGATCTCCAAGTTCCCTTCAAACTCTTGTTATTCTGTAGATTCTAGCCTGTGCTAGTCTTTATCTTATTACTTCCTCCACCATTGTGCTAGCTGCCAACCCAGCTGTTTCGTTGTCCTGAGCTTCCTGAACAACCAGTGGTCTCAGCTGTTTTCTTTAGATCTTCAGAAGCCATTCTGTCCACTGTCTGGATCATTTCCCTGCCTCAGACTGAATCCTTAACAAAATCATTGTTTTGAAGTCACAAAAACATACCCGTTTAGATTCATTCTGCTAGGCCCTGCTACCACTAAAGACAAATTCTAGTCAGTATAAAAATGATTAGTGATCTGTCAATAAAAAAGAGACCATACTCTTAATACTCTAATCCTCATTTTCTGGTCCTGAGCAAAAGACAAATGTTTCCTGCTACAAAAATATGAGCAGTAATCATTTGGGCAGCCTTATGGGGGTAATGAATATTGTCCTTTCACATGCATAGAGATTGGAACCTCCCAGAATTACTAATATGAGAATTCCAGCTCTATATCTGCAAACATACTAGATAGTTTAGGTCAGAGATTGGATGCAGCAGGATAGATAAAATGAATCTTTCTATCCTCTCTCTCTCTCTCCCTCCCTCCCCACACACATCCACAAACACGGGGATTAGCAAATGGGAAGGGAAAGTGGATGAATAAACTGCCTGACTTGATATCATACTACTGCAGATTTATTTTTTCATTAAAAATTAAAAAAAAAAAAAACAGGCTCCCTAATCCTTTTCTGCAATTGCTGGAAACATACTGAAAAATCACCATTCCTTTTTGTCCCTGATGGAGCGTAAGGATCAGTGTTGACTCCAAAGAACAGCTCATTCTGCCAGGGTCGTTGGACAAATATGGCCACATAATCTGTGGCTTAGTGTGATAATTCAAGAGTCCATTTGCCAGCAGATCTAAGAACAATTTCCCAATTTCCCACACAGTGCAACAAGCAAACAAGAAACATGTTGCCAAGCTAATGGGTACTGCATTCTCCCACTGCAAATCAGCATTTGCATTTTAAACCATGAGCTGAGAGCAAAACAAAGTAACAGACATATCCAAAATGCTTCCAGAGAAGGCTTTTCACTGTGCAAATCAAGTTTTTCTCATTCATAAAATTCTATGGGTGGTCCAGACATTGACATCTACCATGTTTTTCTAATGCATTCCCCTTTTTTCATACTAAGAAAAAATCCATTGAGAAGGTGGAACGGATGCACAATGTCTAGAACAGCTCTAGGAATATATGAATAGAGTTAAGATTTGTGTACTGTTAGAACAACGTTGAATTGTACAACTATCATGGATGTATTTTTGTTACAGATGTATTTGTATTTTAGTATTTTAAATTTTAATAAAGGTTTTTTGAAAATTAAACAAAAAACCAGCTCTAGTATTTTCCCTCTGAGCCTATCAAATAGAGAATAATGTTACAATAAACACATGAATACGCATATGAAGACCCAGCTATCCTGAAATAATTTATTCCAATATTTTAAAGAAACTCAGTCTCCAAGTAAGCATGCTTAAGGCTGCAACACTGTTTTAACCAAACAGTGGTTTGGAATATCTTGCCTTAAGATATAAATTGATGGATAGTGCACAGCTAAATAATTCTTATGTTGGCCATGAGAAAAAACATTGAAACCCATATTGAGAGAATAACTTTATTAGTCTGTCTGAAAGCTTATAAATTGTGGCACACAATGGAATTTCCAGAAACAAGTCATGAAGAAAGATGGTTAAAATATACAGAATAAAAATAAAGAAGAGAAAAGGGAGATGGAAACTATATACCTGAAACATGTCTTATAAGTCACATCGTTATCCAATGATTGCCGGGGGTACCTGGAAGAGGGGAGAAAAGTCAAGGAGTGCTAAACTATAATGTTGGGTTGAGTTCAGGAGTGAAATGCTCCCGGTTCGGACCAGATCAGGTGATCCGGTAGTGATTGTGGCTGGTGGTTTGGAGAACCGGTAGCGATGGCGGTGCAAGGCTCTGCCCACCTGCCCGGATGTCATTACTTCCTGGTTTTAACCAGGAAGTAATGTGTTTTTTACCCTCTGCGCATGTGCAGGTTTTACACATGCACAGAGGGTCTGCGCATGCATATGATGCACGCATGGATGCACTTCTGAACCAGTAAGGAAGGTCAGTAGATTTCACCCCTGGTTGAGTTGTGTGATTCAGCCACTGAAAGTTGTCTAAGCACATCGACCAAACTCAGCCAAGTTAGTATCATGGTTAAGACATGGGGCAGCATCATATTCAAATCAGATCAATACTCAGTTTCATAGCTGATGTCACCCTGATTAATATCAAGGATCTAGAATCCTTGAAAAATCAGTTAAACTGCACAGAGAAGAATGATTTGACTTAGAGCTAGTCAGCTGGCAGTCAGCAGAAATAGCCTGCAGGACTGCATTCTAACCACTGTGCCACCGCTGCTCTTTAGATTCATAATGGGAAGGAATAGAATTTAAATAATCCAAGTACTTTATATACCCTCAAATATGTAATCAGAGACTTCCTGTGATTCTGTCTGGCTCCTATTACCTTCTCTTCCACCCCCATTTTTTTTTCTGTACTGGCATTATTTCAAAAGAATCAAGGTGACTTTTAATATAACCACCTATATTTTACTAGGATTGAAGATAATAGTTAAAAGGTCTTACCAAGATATACTACATTTGTAAATTTCCAGTGAAAAAATGCAGACATAATTCTAGAATCAAATAAACTATGTTTACAAGTAACCATACATACATCGTTCAGCCAGATTATTTTTAACACACATAGTTCCTCCATGTACATGCAGTGATAACAACCTGTAACTATTTTACATATTGCTGAAAGGCTAGAATGGATAGATGGAAGATCAGGAGGTACTGGTAGAGATGGAGGCAAATGGTTTGTGGTAGATGAACAGCATTTCTCCCTTCATATCATAACTAAGATAGCTCTCAATCCAAATGGAAAACAAAACAAAGAGTAGATTTTTGTGTGTGAAAGAATTACAAACTGTTACTCTGTTCCTTGTTTTCCTGGTCCCATTTTGCAGCTAACTCCAGTGGAATGTTGTTAGGATTCCATTAAAAAACAAAGTGCTACAATTACTGTAGATATGTAATCTTTTTTGTGCCACTGTCTAAATGTTGCTGTCAACCCTAAAGCGGACCTGATTGAGGCCATCTTTATGGTTTCAGGATTGCCACAAGGCAGAAGAGGGGACAGGGAGGGGGAGAAAATAGATAGCTATGGTTTTGTAGTCAAAACAAAAAGTTTTCCTGTAGGAACCAAGGAGATTTCAACAGGTGGCTGTGGAGAGGAGTGGAGTAACCAAGCAGCTGGCCAGCACCTCTATTGGACAATATGATGACTGGGGGGAAAGGGGGAACTTTCACTTTTTAATTAGGTGAAAACCGCGGGAACTTTCAGAGTCGGTTTTCACCATATTGGTGCCAATATGATGTATCCAATAAATTGTTCTTTGAGGAATCTACCTGCCTCGGAGTTCTACTTTCGATGGATGCATTACTTGGAACAGTGACAGTTGCAGTCCAGATCTGATAGCCTACAGTAATTCTTGTAGACTTCAGGTCAGCTTTATTCCTCCTTTAATGTATAATCCTTCTAGGTACTTTTTAATTTTATTTTCTTCATGCCTAGCATTGGGTTACCACGGAAATGCTCAAGAAATGACAAAGAACTGTATTGGAATAATATCTAAAATGCAAATTAATCTTCTCTATTCAGAAAAGTAAAGTTTTACAGGGTAATAAGAGTATTGCATTATTTTGCACATGATAAAATAGACTGTATTTTTCGGAGTATAAGATGCACTGGAGTATAAAACTTTTTTGGTGAGGAAAAGAAGAAAAAGAAATCTCCCTCTGTCTCTGCTTCTGCCTCTGAGCAATTTTGCCTCGTTGCAGCAAACAGCAGTCTGCTTTACTTTCATTTTCGTTTTCAGCACAGCTTGATTAGCACAAGGAAAAAAAAATCTGCTCCAGCAATGTACCTCTTTGCAGCAAGCAGCAGAGCCCTGCACAAAACAGCTGAGAGCAAATCAGCTGAGAGTCGGGAGGCCGATCCAATCAACTTGTGCTAATTAGCCTGTGCTGAAGCTGGAAGCAGCTGTTTTTTCTTGCTATTTGCTTGCAAGGAGGTAACCGCTGCAAGGCAGAGGCCAAAGGGTGGGGGCCAGTGGGTGGGCAGGGCTACATTCGGTGTATAAGACACACCTAAATTTTACCCCCTTTTAGGTACTCCTTGCTTAACAACTACAGTGTTTGTTTAGCAACTGTTGGAAGTTATGACAGTGCTGAAAAATTGACATGACTGGTTCTTGAATGTATAACTATTTCAGCATACATGTAGTCATGTGATTGCCATTTGCTATCTTCCAGCTGGCTTTAACATGCAAAGCCAATGGGTAAGCCGGCAGGAAGTCAAAAGTCACATTCACATAATATCTCACTCAATAACCATTTGCTTGATAACCATAAGCAGGTTGTTTATGTGAATTTTTGCTTAGTGATAGAGACAATAGGTCCCAATTAAGGTCATTAAAGTACGGACTAACTTGTAGTGTATGAATGATACTGGTAAAATAGAGATTTTAGATGCCATTTAATGCCATGTGGAGTAAATATTGGATAAAATTTATTTGTACATTAAATGAGAGTTTTGGGGACTTTGGAAATATTGAACATAATTTCAGGTTTCAGATGTATGTTGTACTTGCATAGTTCTCAAATCTCAAATCATATATCTAATTGTATTAATGCCCATAGGAAAGGATGAGAGATCCATCCTTCAAAATCTATTCAAGACCCATTGCCAGTCCTTACAAATAATTCTGGGCTTTCTGTTCCATTTGCCTATCTCTTTATGCCATTTATTTTATCATTCCATCTCTTGCATTGGACCATTACATGGACGGCAGAACCCTCCATGATTTTGCATTTTAACTTTTAACCCATGGTGATAATCGGAAAAACAAGAACAGCAACAACAATAGAGGCATTATAGCTCAACAGGAGATAACCAAAGAGCTTGATAAAGACTGGTGTCCTGGTGTTTTCTCAAGAGACTTGCTTCCGGCGAGTTTGCAGGCAGCCAGTTCATGGTAGAGAGCATCTAAAACTTCAACAATAGGTGGTTTTCCTTTAAGATAAAGAAAAAAAAAACACCTGTTGAATTAACAAAATCAAAATTATGCAATTGCAACTCTATGAGTGTGTGCCAAAGAAGAAGGAGAAGAAGAAGATGTAGAACCATATGTATCAGAAGCAACATGCTTTGGAGTATGGCAACAGGAGCATATGATTGTTCGTATCCTATTTATGGGAGGTGGTGATAATCTATTTGTAAGGAAGACGTTGTAAGAAATTTAAATGTACCTGTTGTCTGATGCATCAGGGCCTGTCTGTATCAGTGATTCTTAAACTGGGGGTCATTTTATTTATTTATGTATTAAATTTATATGCTGCCCATATTGTTATCCAGAGCAGTAATTTGGATATATTCTGGAATCAAAGTGTGATTTGCAACTGCTTGCTTATGACCAAAGATCCAATTTAACACTGCAGCTATTAAGACTCTTGTGTTTTTTGAGTGGGTAATGATAGTATTTGAGACCCAAAGAAGAGGTAATTGAATCAAACAGTGGTTTAAGAACCACTGTTCTATATATTTCTTCAGATCAAAGAAATCCCAAAATGAAGTAACCCCTTTATCTTGCATGTTGCTCTGCCTTAAAGACATTGTGGTGATTAAGATGAAGATTCATTTATCTTTGCATAGAGAATGGAAAACGTTTTGAAGTATTTGTCCTTGTAAAGCAGAACAGAATGTGTTGAAATGCAGATATAAAAATAATCTCATACCTCAAATCAAATTTGGCTTCTACCGCATTGATAATCTATGGTAGCCACTGCTTTTGTTCTGCCAAATAGGCAACATTTTATGAACATTTCGGGAAGGCCTTCATGCATTAGTGAGTAAAAATGCATGAAAAGAAAAGCAGCCTTAAGGAAAAAGCTTGTGAACAGGGAACTACTGGAGTATAAGGAGCCCTTGTGCATAAAGCATGCACACTCATCCAATGTTAAAGACATTTTTTTAAAAAAGACCTTCCAGCTGTTGATTAAAAACTACTTTTACCTTGCAACTGGCCCTTCTGGAGTGTACAAATGGGTTAAGGCAGCCCTGCTTCTGAGCTCAGCTTCTACACATTTTGAGACATAAGTAATTCTGACTGAAAAATCAAATGAAGAACCAAACCACACAAATATGGACGGAACAGCATTTTAAGCTCCGGATGAGACAATTGCGAAAAAGGGGAGGCCTGTGGGCAATATCTCTTCATCAATTTCTAGTTCAAAGCACAGTTACAAAGAATGTGCATTTTTTCCCCTCACTGGCATAATTTTTTATGAAAAGACAGACAGGGAAATTCCTTATAAATAAATATGATTTTTCCTAGATTGTAAAACGTAACTGCCATTTTAGAAAATAAAATTCCAAATTAGAAAAATATGAGATCAATATACAATATATTATATAAAAATATGAGATTAATATGCAAATAAGCATACCAAATCGGTCCCTTCAAAACATACTATGTTTTCATACTAGATTGAGAAGTCCCTACAGAACAAATATTTCTAAATCACATATAAACATATAACATAAGCATAACATAAGGAACACTAGAGCGTAGTCATTTAATTTTTCAGATACAGGTAGTCCTCGACTTACAACAGTTTGTTTAGTGACCGTTTGAAGTTACAATGGCACTGAAAAAAGTGACTTAGGATCATTTTTCACACTTATGATTGTTGCAGCATCTCCATGGTCACGTGATTTACATCCGGATGCTTGACAACTGACTCACATTTATGATGGTTGCAGTGTCCTGGAAACATGTGACCAATTTTGCAACCTTCTGACAAGCAGAAACAATGGAGAAGCTAGATTCACTTAACAACTGTCTTACTAATTTAACAACTGCAGTGATTCATTTAGCAATGTGGCAAGAAAAGTCATAAAATGGGGCAAAACTCACTTAACAAATTTCTCACTTAGCAACATGAATTTTGGGCTCAATTGTAGTTGTAAGTTGAGGATTACCTGTAACTAAGGAAATGCTACAGGTAGTCCTCAACGTGTGACCACAATTGGCTGTGGAATTTCTGTCGCTAAGCGATACAGTGGTTAAATGTGTTGCAGCCAAGCTTACAGCCTTTTTTTGTTGTGGTCATTAAGCAAATCAGCATAGTTGTTAAGTGAAGCACACAGTTGTTAAGTGAATCTGGCTTTCCCCATTGCTTGTTGGAAGCCAGTTGGGAACTTTGCAAATGATCATCACTCGACCCTGGGACGCTGCAACCATCATAAATACATGTCAGTTGTCAAGCATCCAAATTTTGATCATGTGACCATGGGGATGTTGCAATGGTCATAAGAGTGAAGATCACTCATAAATCACTTTTTTCAGTGCTGTTGTAAGTTCAGACACTAAACAAATGGTTGTAAATCGAGGACTGCCAGTATTTCTCACTAATGGATTCAGCAACTAATTGCATTTCATTCAATAATGGAAGTCCGTAATTTATGGTTTAGCATTTTCTTTTATATTCATTCTCAAAGCACATTTTAATTTTAGTAAAAGGTTACTACTCATATCGTTGAATGCTACCCATGTAGAAATAGAAATCGTTATCTCATCATTACAAATAAATTAATCGCTTAGGCTGAAAATTGCCATGATGTTTATTCCCCATCCCTATAAAGCACTTTTTTTGGCGGCTCCCCTTAAATTCAGTGGAATTTCAGTGTACATAAGATCAAAGTGGAATCAAAGATTCCTATTTTTCCTCTCTCTCTCCCTCTCTCTCTCTCTCTCTCTCTCTCTCTGTGTGTATTTGCTTCATACTGAAATAAATGTAATTTTGTTTGGAGTTGCGAGAAGAATCTGGAGCACTGGATAACAAAAGAAAGCACATACTAAACTTCACTCTAAAGAACAGAACCATCAAACAACCTTTGGAGCCTGAAAATCCTCAAAACAATGGGATCTGCACAGTGGACTACTGCCTGGGGAGAAGAGAGAACTCAAGAAATGTGTGTATTGTATAAAGATGAAAGGTTATTATATTGAAAATCCGACCTACTTTCTTTGCTAAAGGACAACACTGTCTTCTGTTTTCTTCTTTCTTTTCATTGAGGCAAAAAAAAAAAGGGGGGGGGAATCTAAGGTTGCTGAATAAATATTTGAAAGAAAAGCTGGGCCAGAGGGTATACATTCTGCCTTCCTGTAATCCTATACAAAGTCACTGGGAAAAAGAAGTTGGGATGAAGAAGCTTATTCTAGCGTTGCAAATTGCCAGCATAAGCCTCTGCGCTGGATCAGGCTACCAGGACAGTTAGGAATAGATCTATATTACTAATCAGGTACAAATTGGCACTAGATGTCTCTAGTTACATACAGAATGATGTGTTAACCTCCATATATGTTCAGGGAATTTCAGAATTATGGAACATTATTTCAAGTTCAAAATTTCAATAACATTTTTACTTCTTTCAAACTTAAGCAATAATTTTTTTAAAATTAAGTTATCTTTCATTTCTCTTTTACCAACTAAATAAATTACAGCAGTGGTGGGTTCCTCCCGGTTCGGCCGAGCCGGTAGCGGTGACAATATGACGTCACCGAACCGGTTCTCCCCCCCGCCCCCCATCCCCACCCCCCACGTTATTCTTACCTTTTATTTGGTCCCACCCCCAATCTATTGCTGCCTCCTGAGTCCCAGCTGATGACTAGAGGGAAAAAAACTGTTTAAACTCTTGCTGCGGGGCTTCAAAGGGCCATCCTACAGCTGATCAGTGTTAAAAGCAAACAAATGAGTCGGGTCATAAGTGCGAGGACTGGTCGTAAGTGCGAGGACCTTCCAGAAATGACTCTGACCAGCTAGCCACGCCCACCTAGTCACATGACCTCCAAGCTACACCCACAAAATAAGCCACGCCCACAGAACTGGTGGTAAAAAAATTTAGAACCCACCCCTGAATTACAGGATGTCTGCCCATCCCTTCATCTAGATGAAGGTAGCATTAGATGTTTTGATACACTATCCCCAAACCATCACCATATCACCAGCTATTCATTCCTCTTGTAGGGTTATCTTTTCTCACCCATTTTCTTGCCTCATCAGAGAATTATAATCTGGGTTCAAAGGAGTGTATGCTTTTTTTTGGGTCTATGTTTGTACTCACTGAAATCCTTTCTTAGCTTAATTAACTAGGATGAATCAGACAGCAAGAATCTCTCTTTCCTTCCTTCCTACCTTCCTTCCTTCCTTCCCTCCCTCCCTTTCTCTCTTTCTGTCTCTGTTTCTGAATTTTTAAGATCATTAACTATCTACTATCTAACTATCTTTTTTTTTTTAATTGAAAAAGTTTTACTATCTAACTATCTTGATCAACCATTTCTGAGCAACAAAATATCTAATATATTGGAGCTAATTCTCTTCTATCCGGAGAAGTTTCCTGATAACCAGTGGTCTTGCCAGCCAACCTGTGAGGTTCAGTACCAAAGGTTACTGTACTTTCTTACCATGTTGGGAGTCACAGCAGGATTCCAAAGTGTTCAGTAAGATTTTCCCCAAGGTGCGCTTAGAAATGTTCTTCAAAACATAAAACAATATTAGGGAGTTTTATCTACATATGTCAATAATGAAATACATTAACAATCGTCTTCCAAAATCTAAAATTCATACCAAGTACATCCATTGGATTTACTTCTGATGTCCTTTATGATCAACGAACAAATGGGCAATTAAGAGAAATTGTATACATCCCATAAACTGAGACTATTTTTATTCATTTCTATTATATCTTTTACCTTTCTCTTAGTTTCACAGGCATACAGTGTATCTCTCTTTCTTTCATTTGATAATTCATGTTCTTTATCATTTACTCTTTCAAGTCACAATTTTCACATGACGAGGTGATCACCACATGGGCCCAGAGATACTGACCTCTGCCACCAATTGAGGTTTTCACATAGTGATGTTTAATCAGATAGAGAAGAGGTAAAGGAGGGTACCAGCTTTAATTGTATCTGTAACAGATCACCATTCCTTGCTAATAATAAGAACAGTACTACTAATTTGGGCACATTTTGACCAGCATTTTCAACTGGAAAGTCTCAATCATTATTACACTATTCTATGTCAGACAGAGATCTATAATCTAGAGACTGCCGTGCAAGTCATTATATGAAGCGTACTTATATAGTTAGGTCACACAGTCATATCGTCAGGGTTCCAAGTAATACCCCCAATGAAGCACTAAGTGTGGCAGCCCTGAATTTCCAAAGAAAAAGATGGCCTCCAGGACTGACACATATCTTGGTTTATATAATACGAAAGTGTAATCTGAGTGTTTATATTCCCATATAAACTGATATATGCCTCTTTCATGTATCAGTTTATCTCCCTGCACACTTTACTTATATTTTCTTTTTTAAAAAAGCAAACACCCCCCCCCCCTAATTATAACAATACCCTACCAATTGAAGATCATGTACTTTCTTTTACAAAATTTCTTGAATGGTCATATTTATTAGTACATATAAGAATTATGTACTGTCCTTGGGTTACAACAGCAATTGGGATCAGGATTGCCATCGCTAAATGATGCCTGTGTACTGCATGACAATTGTGGCAGTCACAGTTGTGTCTTAATCACAGGACCACAAAGAGCGTTAAGAAGCAGGGATCCCAGGCAAAGGTGTGTGGGCATGCTGGTGTGAGTGTGTTTACATCCCACAAGCAGGTGGCATGAAATGCAGATGGGTTGGCGAAGGATACTACAGAGAATGAGATCCTGGAATCTTGTAGTCTGTAGTGGACTCCTTGGGAGATAAAGTGGGGGATGTGACTTACTGTAGCAACTTGCAACCTTCCATGATGGCTTTTCCATTGACTTTACTTGAGGGAAGTTGGCATAGGTTGCAAATGGCATTTGCGTTACAAATAGTCATAAGTCCAAGACTAAATCTAGCCACGAGCAATTTTCATTCTAATCGATCTGTTTATAAATTTATAAACAGATCGATTAGAATGAAAATTGCTCGTGGCTAGATTTAGTTCCTTTCCTACGTTTAGGAAACTTCTCTCTTAGAATTAAACTAACTAAACCTGGAACTAGAAAGTAAAATGCCACCATCATTTTCTACTGCATTTGTGAAGCTGAACAAGCCGATCCCTTAGGAGTGCTAATAGCAAAGTTATTTTTGTTTTTTAAAAAAAAGCAAAAGGAAAAAAAGCTGCAAATCTTACTGCAAATTTTCAAGCCAGGTATGAAATGTGTGTGTGTGTGTGTGCTTGAGTGCGTGAAATAATTCTATGACTATTTTTCTTCTGCACTGTTTCTGTTTTGCTCATTTATCTTATTTAACCACTAAACAGCATTTTCTTTCCCTATATAATGTAATTGTAGCTGTAAAATAACCCATATTAAAAATATACCTTTATTGTGTTCACATTGCAGATCAATATGAGAGAGAATTATTTGTTCAAGGTCACCAAGAGAATTTACAGCAGAAGTAAGATTTGGATTCGAAGCTCAAAGCAGTAATTCTACACAAAGTCAAGGGCTCTCAAAAGGAAATATATTAACAGCTACCTTAGACAAGTGTAAAGCTCTCCTAGCTCTAAATTACAGACAGAGCCTGCATATCTCTAATGGAAAGTTTGTTCACCTGCATGCTTTTCTAAGTAAGCTATCTACAACTGAGCTTTTTTTTTCAGCAACTCAGTGTGAAAAACCTCTGTCTATTGAAGACCATGCAGAAAACTACAGACGTTGTCCATCCATACTGAGGAGCAGCATCTTGTTGTTTCTTCCACTATTTTATTTTGTTTTTTTGTTTTTGTTCTTTGTTTTTTTTTTCTTACCAGATCCCGGAGTTGCTGCAGCAGCTGTAAAACATCCAAGAGCTTTTCTTCCACCAGTGACAGCCTTACTCTCTCTGTCTCCAACATCTGGAATTCCATCTTCATCAGCTCAGATTCCTCCACCTTCTGTTGTATTTCCCCTAGCAATGGACCTTTCGTCTAGACAACGGATGACATAAAAAGTATTGCGTAGCACAATTTTTTTAAAAATAAGTCTGACTTCTCTGTCTGAGTCTGTGGAAGATGCCTCAGAATTCTGTCTTCAAATGAATTTTACTAAATTGAATGTGTCAGTGAAAAATACAGTCAGTAGGATGTGTGCACAAATATGTGATTTTTCTATTTTATTGATATCTTTCTGACTACTTGATGTAGTTAGGATCAGCTGGGGATTTTAAATGCTGCGATTCCAAATATATTTTCTACACGCACGTATAATTTCCAAGGAAAGCAATATACACAAAATTGCCTGCTACCATTAATTCTATTTCACAGCTTCATTGCCCCTATAAATCTGGAGTTTTCATTGAAACCATAATAAAATATTTCTCTTTCAACCATGACTGTTTCAGAATAACCTTATTAAATGCAGACCAAGCTGCACTTCTGTGAAAACCCCTTGATTACTTCAAATGTATCATTTAATGTGTCACAATCCAAGGCCTATTCTCTGCCAGAACAAAGTGCAATACACAGAGTAACAAATGTAGGTTATAGAAAAGAAGATTCCAACGGAACGTTAGAAAAAAAATTTGCTGCCACTAAGAACAGTTTGAATATAAAACCAATCATTCAGAGAAGAAGTGGACTTTCCTTTCATTTTGACCAAGGTGTGGCTGGCAAGCCATTTGTCAGGGATCCTTTGATTTGGATCAGTCAATATATAAATGGGCCCTTTCAACTCTATTATTCTATTAAGCAGAAGAGGAAATATTTGCTTCAGTTTGTTTGCATGCTCAAGTAATTATGACTGAAAGATTGGCTACAAGGTATAGTGCATATGGTTGATGCAAAGTTAACCTTAAGCATACAGACAAATATTTATTTGTTTGAAAATTTTTACTTGGTGATTCCAATATTTTTTCTTTGTCACCAACATGCAAAATACATTCAATATTATAGTTTAATGTCACAAGAGAGATGCAATTCTTAAGTTTCATTTGGCAAAATGATTTATAAATTGGTGGTCTTCAGGATGGAAAATTGGAGCAATGTTGTGTGGTGGAATCACTGACTGAAGGAGAGGGGCCCACTCTGGGAAGAGTAAAAAGACATTCCAAGTTGTAGTTAGTTTGGAGAAGCAAACATCTGGAATCAAACCCTTAGGTCTATATCTATTGTTTCCAAGGGAAGGCAGATAGTCTGGCAAGATTCTTGTAACATAGGTGATCAGCAATAAAGTATCTATTTGGACCTATTCACTGAGTGGTTCTGATTACATGCGTCTGACATACTGTCATATTAAACCGGTAAACATTTCAATCAAAGAGATTGCAATGCTTACCTCTCTTCTTTTGTATATTTCTATTGATTTAGAGACTATCAGAATTCAAATATAATTGGTAACAGATTAAAAGCAGCATGCCTTGCTAAATCTATCCTAATCATAATTTTAAATATTAATGCCTTAGTTACTAGCTAGCATCTTTACTAGAGTTTGTAATCACAAGAGGGTGAATAACACAGAAGAATAATGTAGTAGGCTGCTACCATATTAGAATACTGAAAATAAAATTAAAATTGAGATTCAACTCAATTATCTAATAAATCAATGTGTTATTCACTGATATCCCTTCACATAGTTAAGATCATTCTGGTTATTGTAAGAAACCTGTGACCTTCCAGATATTCAGCTTCATCATCCCAGCCATCATAAAAGTTTTCCTTGGGTTATAAATGTTTGCTTGTAAATATGCCCTCTTCAGCAAACTTCTCAGCAAATGTTAGCAAATTTCCCCCTTTTGTGTTCAGTCCATCTTATTGGGTTTTGATGGTTTTAAAGGAGTGTGCAAGAGGAAGAGTAATGGTGTACTGCCTACTAGCGGCTTCTTAAATAACCTCTTTTAAGAGATCCCATGACAGATTCTGTGCCTGGAGGAGGAGGGGCCTAAATGCATAGTTTCCTGACATTATTTTATTTTTATTTTTTTAAATAGTGGTGTATGCTACTCTGCTATTTGAAAAAAAATTAGTGGAACCCAGTGATTAAAGCCACAATACCTCCAATTTGGAACACAACTTATTGAGGCAATTAAAAGATATTACTTAAGGAACAATACGGATGTTATTCATGGCTAATCCTCCTTCTGTAATGGCAGAAGTGATGCAAAATTTCTAAGCACTGCACATTATTTATTTATTTATTTATTATTCGAATTTCTATACCGCCCTTCTCCTTTCGGACTCAGGGCGGTGAACAGCCAAAATAAAAACATTTATACATAAATACGATTAAAAATAGATTTAAAATAATTAAATTTGGCCCATAGTTTAAAATTTATCAATTTAAAATCCATATCAAAATTTAAAACCAACCATAAAATCATAAAATCAAGAGAGACCGGCTAACTGAAAGAGATGAGTTTTTAGGGCCCGACATTGCACAGAATCTAATTATAATCTAATATTGAGCAATTGAGATAGCTAATAAATTGACTAAATAATATATTGGATTTTGTCTGTAACAGACATTAGTCTGAATTATAACTAATGAATTCTGATTACTGTAATATTAAGCAGTTTCACTTACTAAGGAGAAATTTTAAACATGGAAATAACTAAAATGGTGAAGGTACTCTCACAAGGCTTGTAGTATATCATGTGAATGAGTACCACTACATTGATTACAACTAAAGTAAGTTGTATGACTATGAAGGCATACTGAATCTGCTGTATACACTTATTTTAATTCTCATCTGTTGGCATTATACAATTACTGCAATGCTTGGGCTATTAGCTTGTTTTGTTCCAAAGCCATCTTTATTAATGACCTGAAAGATGGAATGGAAAGCATGTTGGTTAGATTTGTAAATGACACCAAGATGGGGGATTTGTCCTTCTAGGACAAAATCACAAAATGACTTTGCCATTCCTGCACTGAATGCGGTGTTGGATTAGACGACCTATACAAATCCTTTACAATTCATACACAATATGATTGTATTATTGGGATTAATGTAAGAAAGAACATCCTTTAGATTAAGATTCTATTGATGATTGGCTGAAATATTATAGTATGCCATGCAGGAAGATTGCCCAGCTTAAACATTTATTTGCTATCTGACTGCCTGCTTACATTTTAACAATTCAGACTAAACCTCATTCTGCTTTCTGAAACAAGCAGTAAGAATCCTTGCTGCATCCTATAGGATAGGATAGGATAGGATAGGATAGGATAGGATAGGATAAGATAGGATAGAATTCTTTATTGACGAAGTGTAATTGGACACACAAGGACACACAATAGTGTCATCCTCTGCAATTGCTTGCAGCAAAACAGGTTTAATCCATTGTCTTTTTTTTTTACACTTCCTAATGCATACATTTTACATTTTCCAGTCCTTCATCCTTTTTGGTAAATGTTGTACAATTTATTTATTTATTTATTGGAATTTGTCAAACAAAAATGAGAACAAGAATAAGAGAATAAAAATACAATGACAGGGACCATAGGCACATTAGTGCACTTATGCACGCCCCCTCTACTGACCACTTAAGAATGAAGTAAGATGACTGAAACTGTTAAAATTTGTAGCTGAGACAACTGAATCAGGTAGGGCATTCAAGACTGACAACTCTATTACAGAAATCATATTTTTACAGTCAAGTTTAGAAGATTTATACTGAGTTTAAAGCAGTTGTTCACGCACGTATTATTGCAATTAAAACAGAAAAAGTCATTTACAGGTAAAACATTACTATAATTTTGTATACTATACCTAGGTCTGACCGCAAGCGACGCAGTTCTAAATTATCCAAACCAAGAATTTTGAGCCTAGTAGCATAAGGAATTCTATTGTGTACAGAAGAATGCAAGACTTTTCTCATGAAGTACTTCTGGACCCGCTCGATTATACTGATGTCAGCTATATGGTGGGGATTCTAAACAGTTGAACAATACTCTAAAATTGGTCTAGCATAAGTTTTATAAGCTCTAATTAGCAATACAATGTTTCCAGAAAAAAAAGCTTCGCAAAATTAAGTTTACAACTCTTAATGCTTTTTTAGCAATGCTAAAGCAACGTTACAGTGAGCTACAATATTATTGCAGTTCCAACCATATCCGGAGTCCCTTGAGAGAGAATTGAAAAGAAAGGCTACTGTTAATTTCTAAAATCGGCTTTGAAAATTGATAGGAAATATTACCAGAATCAATATTTTGCAACTGAACATCAAGTGTTATCTGAATAAAGTGTGCAATCGTTTAGGATCCATCCAGAATTTCTTTAACATAGTCACTGAATTTCATCCAGAGCTACAGTATAATATATTTGAATTGGCTAAAAGTTAACTCAGTTCTCATATTCTAAAATAAAGTCATCTTCTAACTTCCAGGCAAATCTGCCATATGGCAAGATGACATAGTCTCCCTAACGATTAAATGTGTTATTTAAATGCCTATATCCACAATCCTTTTGTAACCAAAAAAAAAAAAAAAAGGCACATAAATAATTGCTTGCTCTTGTCAGTCATAACATTACCACCATCTGATCAGCAGCCTGGTTTAGACATTATTTTTCTTTCCTGAGACAACGATGAACCGTGGTGGATTATTTTCACTACAATTCAACATCTTGTTCCTGTCTTCCCGGCTAACAACATTCTTGTAATCATCAGCAGTGGCTTCCTTACAACATACATGCCTGTATCCAAAGTAAGACTGAAATGTGTCAGTTGCCTGTAATATTATTCCAGAATGTTCTATTTCTTTCTGTCCTTTTTTTCTTTGTTAGATAAACAAATGCAACAAGAAGATTTTCAGCATGTATCTCATGATTGTAAGCTCATTGGGTAATCTGCATTTTGCCCCAACAATAAAACCAGTGAAGAAATTCTGCAAAATGTTCCCATGAGCTTATTACATTGGATTTGAATGCAGCCTCAATTATTTTCTTGATCAACACTATAAATGTGCTTCAATTAATGTATAGATTGCTATTTTCCAACTTTAAAACTCTTTTGGAATATGCAATAACATTACAGGCTGGTTTTCAATGTGCTACATTATCATTAAGTCTAAACCAATCCCTTGTCTACATTAAGATTATCTAAATCCTTGTAAAAGCTGTTCCAATGTTCATGTATCTATACACTAGAAAATGACTGCTTACAGTTAATTCCTTATATAGATAAGGCACATGACTTGGTCGATGAATAAATATATTCCAGCAAAAGTCAGATATCTATTCCACAAGCAACATTTTGTAATTCTAGGCTTAGGTTTAGAGTTTACTAATGATTACTTCAATATATCATCTGTTATCTGACACCTTCATTAAAATTTCTTTGCAAAATAGTTCTCTAACTGCAGCTCTTTATTGAAAAACACTTTAAAAGGAAACAAAGCAAATGGTTCTTTTCATCTTCTAGCTTTTGTAAAAACATAGGAGATGAAAAAGATTCGATCAATTATTGATTCTTTCAGGTGTCCATTATTCTTGACTTGCCTGGAGTTGAAATGACTTCTAGTTTGCTTCTTTTTATATACTTCTTTCTAAGACTTGGGGTTTTATGTACAACTAAGCCTGCCATGCCACTTAGATGCAGAATTAACTTGAAATACTCATGTATAAGGAAGTTAGTGTATTTATTCAGATCTGAGAAGTTCAGAGGTATAGAGATGTTTAGAAAATATTTCTAGAAATGTAAAAAGGTCTACCTCTTGGCAAATCAAATAATTATTTCCAATTTCCTCAGGATATATGAACCATGCCTCATAATAGCACAGAGTAGAGAAAATACTAAAGAAAGGAAGGGAAGGTCTAAAGTAGCAATTGGGAAGTTGCTAATTCCATTCATACACTGGTTTTCCATTTTTAGAAATATTAACACCATAAATTGGAAGAGGTGGAATTTGTAATGGAAGAAAGGAACATACCGGTAACTACTCTTACAATGAAATATATATTTATTTCCATTTATGTACAAATATACATTTGCAATAAATATACATTATGAACCACAACACTAGTGTGGGATAAGACCAAGCTAGGTAACTATGCCCATCTAGATGCTGTCAGATAGAAAATCATGCTATCCCTCAATATATCAACTGGAGATGATTAGTTATTGTGATCTGATGACATATAGATGTACCCTGCTCCCATACTTTAATAGAACACAATTTTTAGAGGCTTGTTGACCAAGAAATAGTAAATAGATGAACTGCATAAGAGTCCATGAAATTATGTACTGCAATTAAAGAATTGCAGTGCATAATTCTATACACTGCAATTGCATGGAATTATGCACTGCATAATTCCATGCAATTGCATGGAACTGAGCTTTCAGGGGATGAAAGCTGAACACTATCACAGCTGAGTCTTCTTGTTCTGAAATATGCAGGTGGTACCAGTGAAAGTGTCTTTTGATCAAATTTAAGCAGGTCTGATAAGAAAAAGAAATTCTGAAATATGCAGCCTTTGTAATGTACCTCCTGAAAGGACAGAATATAAAATGAATTTACCTCTTCCATATTTGTTTCCAAAACTTTTTCTTCCTGCCCTTCCATTTGAAAGTCTTCTTTTAATTTTGAGAGTTGTTGGACTAATTCCACAAGGGAGTTTTCATGGCCACAGTTACTGGGGTTGCCAAAGGATGACCGCAGCTGCTTCAATGTTGTGTCATCACATCTAGAGAGAGAAAAATTCTGGTCACTGCTTTTCTCCATCCTAGTAGTCTAATGATATGCAACATTAAGATATTAGGAGGTAAAACCTCCTAATATGGGCGGCTATATAAATTGGTTTAATAAATAAATCACTTCCAAAATTTTGCCAAAGAAATTGCAGGGACTTGACCTGCAGGGACAGTCATCAGCAATCAACAATGATTTGAAGCAGGGGTGAAATCCAGCAGGCTCTGACAGGTTCTAGAGAACCAATAGCAGAAATTTTGAGTAGTTCGGAGAACCGGCAAATACCACCTCTGGCTGGCCCCAGAGTAGGGTGGAATGGAGATTTTGCAATATCCTTCTCCCAGGAGTGGGGAGGGAATGGGGATTTCGCATTATCCTTCCCCTGGAGTGGGGTGGGAATGGAGATTTTGCAGTATCCTTCCCTTGCCACACCCACCAAGCCACATCCACCAAGCCACATCATGCCCACCATGCCCACAGAACCAGTAGTAAAAAAATTTGGATTTCACCACTGATTTGAAGGCAGAAACATAAAAAAGGCACAATTACTAATACATCTTACATATGCCTGCTCCATACAGGTAAATTTTCTCTAAACAACAGTAATTGGGAGCAGCAAGTCTGCTGCTAAGTGACACAGTTATAAAGTGTGACATCATGTTGACTTACAACAGCAGTTACTGTTGTTAGGTGTATCCTATGCATTTGCAGTATCATGTGGTCATTTGATTGTCATTTGTGACCTCCAGCCAGCTTCCCCATTGACTTTGCTTTTCTGAAGCCGGCACTGGAGATCATAAATGGTGATCACGGGATCACATGATGCTGCAACTGTTGTGATTACAAGCTGGTTGCTAAGCACCCAAATCACAATCTTGTGACTGCTGCGATGGCCACAACTAGAAGGAATGGCAGTAATTTCCCCATTCATCAGTGTTGTAATTTTTAACAGTTGCTGAACAAGTGGTGGCTGAACAAGGATTATCTACATAACCATATGACATATTCCAAAGCTGATATACCTGTAATATTTTTGCTATGTCATACAACAGCATTTTCAGAAAAAAATAGCAAGGACAAAAGTTGCAACTATGATTTCACATAGACACTGTGACGTACCCGCTATTGCAACAAGGAAATCTAGCTAAGAGTTTCTTTACTTCAGCCATTTGGGATTGCTGGTCGCCTATCCATTTCTCTTCCTCTTCATCAGATGCAGCCTGGCCTTCCACAGAACGAAACATCTGATCTTCCACTGGAAAGAAAGAACAATAATCCCCAAATAAGACAATCACTATTACCTATTCAAGTAGCATTTTTTAATCCAGTTTAAGAAAAACAATTTTGGGAAAAATTAATTCAAATACTACAGTAATTAATTGCCAAACAAAAAAGGACCTCCTTCTTCATCATCTGCTATCTTAAATAGACATATGCTAATTTATAGTATATACCAGTGATGGTGAACCTTTTCGGCTCCAAGGGCCCAAACTGGAACGTGCACGCACAGAAACGCCGAAAAACCAAACACCAGGTGGCCGGTGCACATGACCCAGATGGTTTCCACATGCGCCGGAGCATCAGAAACCCAAAGACCAGGTGGTCCTCGGGTTTCCGGCACTCTGGTGCATGCAAAGACCAGAAGAAAGTTGGCGATGGCGCGCGTGCCCAGAGAGAGGGCCATCATGGGTATATACCATATATCAGGGGTCCCCAAAACCCTGGCCTTTGGGTCAGTGCTGGGCCATGGAAGCGATACGAGAGTGCGCACAAAGCTGTATTTGTGAAAGATGTGGGGTGCGTGCATGCACAAAACCATCCCTTCTTCCCCCTCCAGCCGCAGCTACCTCCACCGATCCAACAAGCCAGAAAGAACCATATATATTTGCAGAGAGGCTGAGAATTCTAGGTGCTACAATAGACACCTCCCCAAAAATTAGGTTCAGTTTATCTGTGGATGGAGTTATCTGTGAGCATATATAGCAGGGTGAAATGCTCCCGGTTCGGACTGGATCGCCCGATCCGGTAGCGATGGAGGTGGGTGGTTCGGAGAACCGGTAGCAAAAATCCCTGCACCCCCCCCCACCAAGCCACGCCCACAGAACCCATAGTAACAAATTTTACATTTCACCACTGATATATAGTAACACTTTTTTTTTAAAAAAAGAACTCATATATCTGTATATACAGTATTTGCATATAGGTCGAACTGTAGATAAACTGACTCTTGAATTTGAACCAAAATATGATGAAAATGTGGATCAACAACAGGTGGCATGTTTTTCATGGTATTTGGACATATAGGAGATATATGTCATGTCATTTTCTACCACAAATTGAAATAAAAAATAGTCCCAAGAACATGTTAATTAGTTGTAAATGTGATTTTTTTTTCAGTAGGCGCATTTCCATATGATAAACTGCAGCCTTACTTATTGAAGATCCTATCAAATGCCTTGCACCATTTCTCTCCTTCTTTTGAAAATATATTTGCCTGACTTTTTCTTCGATCATTAGTAACTCAATCTTTGAGCTAATCCCCCCCCGCATAATCAGGCAAATTAGGAATATATCACCCTATGTCTAATTATGTAATTTATAGTCCACATTTCTGCTTGTGTTCTATGGCTGTAGAATTTAGACTTGGGTAATATGACCCCCAAATAAAATGTGAGTTAACTTTGAAGACATTCTTTGCAGAATATCTATGTTTGGTCCTCTATAAAGAGTCAAGTTTCCTTTCTTAAGGAGCATAACCTTTATAGATAGAAGGAGAACAACTGTTAGAGTTATATATAGTATCTTTCTTTATTAAACCTTGCTAATCCCCAGCAGTGTAACCAACCATTGCAGACAGAAGGTTGTCTTGTGCTTTCCTCTTAAGCAAATTTGTGTGTACACATATATAAAAAGAAAAAAGGGGGAAAGTAGTATATTAAAGTGAAAATCAATTGTACCTGGAACTTTTATTAAATTGTGTTCCTGAATTTACACAGTTGCATGAGCAACATCTTGACCAGAAGTAATCCCATAGTTACAGGAAAGCCTGGAGATTAGCAAATGCTAAATGGAAAAAGTGGGCTGAAGGAAGGAATGAAGAAAGCCTTTATGAGTTTCAACATAAAGTGGAGCAAAGGAGAAAAGTTAGAGGCAGTTTGGTATAGTGGTTAAGGCATCAGGTTAGACCAGGAGTTCCCAATCTTGGTAACTTTAAGACATGTGAACTTCTAGAAATTCTGGGAGTTGAAGTCCATTTGTCTTAAAGTTGCCAAGATTGGGAATCTCTGGCCTATAGTAGAAACCAAGAGACTGTGAGTTCTAGTTCTGCCTTAAGCACAATGCCTTAGGCCAGTCACTTCCTCTCAGCCCTAGGAAGAAGCCAATGCTGAACCACTTATGAAATCTTGCCAAAGAAAACTGTGGCGACTCAACCCCAAACCCCAACACCCCCCCCCAAGAAAAAGTTGAGCTATTTCAACCTTTTGGTGGTGGAGATGGCAAACCAAAGGCAAAGATAGGAAAGGAACTGATATAAGGATGCAAGGAAGATGGGGAAAGATCTTGAAGGAGGGGTGTCTCATTTTCAGAAGGCAAAGTTGTTTTTCTACCAGCTGTTTATGGCATGTAGGAAGAGAAAAGAAGATTTATTTTGGCACTAATATCATGTACTTGAAACACTCAGCCAGAGAAAATGAAGTGCTTTAGGCTAAGGCAGTCTTTTCAATCAGATTTCCAGAGTACATTTGCAAGGGAGAGAAATACTGGTTGAATAATTTAGACAATTGTCTGTTTTATTGACACAAATTTCTTCACAAACTGCATTTGTAAAGACTGCTGCTAGCTATTATTCACACATTTGTTGCAAGCAGCTATTTTGCAAGCGGAGGTGTCAGTTTTTTCTGTTAATCACTGTTATGTGATACTAGGAGTATAAAACACAGCCTTTTTAAAAGACTTCTGCTCAAGCTGGTTAATTATTTTCTCCCAATGTCTTTGTAAAATCAAGTATCTCTCTGTAAGTGGAAGATTGTATTTTATTAAAAAAAAAAAAGTTGGGTCTTCCTTCTGAGGTAACATATAAGGCATCGCCTCTTGAATCAAAAGACATGTTATTTTGTGTCGGCTCCCTTTTAGGTATTTGAGAAGAAAGTGAACAACGTAGCAAAAAATACAATTTGCAAGCGGGACTTTTAATATTGCTCTACAAATATTGTTGCTTCTGATGCTGCGACAATGGTTGAATGCTTTTCATTTGTTCCAGCAGAGGGCACTGTGGTAAAACCCAAAATAAAGAAAATGCCCATCAGATGACAAGCTTAGCAAAGAATGTCTTGTGAACAAAGTTGTCCTTCTCTTCTACAATAACAAAACTGGGGCGGGTGTGTGTGTGGGTATGTCTGTGGAATGTTAGCTCTAATTAAGTGAAGTAGACAATCCACTGTTAGTAAAATGCTTATTTCCCAACATTAGTTCAAACGCACAGTTGCCTCATGTATCCATGTTCTTTGTATAAGCTTTCAACTTCAAGGCTTTCTTTGAACATAATCATTTGTCCCAAATGATTAATTAATAAGCAGATGCTGTATCTACCCAGCTGTAAGAATCACAGTCACTGTGGGATTTGTGCAATGCATTAAGAAGCAAACAATAGGGGATGGAGGGAGGGGGTAGCATTGTCTCTTTTAAATGTTGCTTTTGCACAAGCTTTGGACCTAGTTTAAACCACATCAAACCTTAAGCTTAAATTTTGTGGTTATTTGATGCAACAGCAGAGATAGCGCTTCTGGCTTCTTTCAGTTACACTGCTGGTGCTGGCGTACACAGATGCACTCACGTCTGAAACCAAAGACAAGCCTTTAAAGAAGTGAATGATCTAAGATCAAAGCTCCTTGTGATGTTATAGGGAGTGCATACAGGTAGGAATAAGGAAGTAAAGGTATTTACCCTATTTTTTCATCTTTGCTCGTGATCTTATAAAGGAAACTTCTGTCATATGCTCGTCTTGGATGTTTGTTAGAAGCATATACTCTTAAACCTCTAATATTTTAATCTCTGACATCTAAAACTAAAATTTGGTCTTTTGCAATTCTGGTGGGTTTTTTTAATGTTACAAAAGCCCATGGGGGAAAATGTGTGTCTTTCACACTAAACGAAAGCTGGTCCTAAGTACACAGATGCACTTAGTCATTACTCTATTGTTTTGCAATTAAATTAATAATTAGGTCAGTTCATTTAAGCAAAACATCTTCAAGGAAAAACAAAGTCCAGTTGCCTTTTGAAAAAGCATCTTTGGGACAGCCATGATCTGGATGACTGGGAATCTTTACAAATGGTAGGATATAAAATTACCTGAGGGTTCCATGCCCGGGGAAGGATAAGCAGTGGTCCAGGAGCTCATGGCCATGGTAGCAGTCATGCTTATTCCAGGTCATACTTGGTCCAACTGAGAGAAGTGGGTTTGTGATTTGAAGATGGAAGACATTTCCATCCATAATTTGCTATTGTGAAATTATTTTTTGTCTCACCTCTGCACAGAGTAATAGGAGCAGTTAAGATGGTGTCCCAGGTGGGTGAATTTGCACTTAGTCCAGCAGTGCTGGATAATTTCTGTTCCATCTTCAACATTCTCTATTAGGAGAATATTTTTTGGGAGTAGATAACTGGGCCTCAGAAAGTTTAAAAAGAAACTGGTCATCTAGATCTCTGCCAGTCATATTTCAGGCCAACCATAAGACAGAAGTTGCACTGATCATTCATGTACATGATCTATACCTAGACCTTGACTAGAGGAGTACATCTCTTCTGATTGAGGTAGATTTATCAGTAACATTTGATAACATTGTGAGGTCTGGAAGCTGAAGGCACTATTTTCCAGTGGTTCCAATTCTTCCCAAGTAGATGGTTACATGGTAGGATAATTGAGTATTTGGCCACAATCTTCTAACAGATTTCCCAGTTATTATGGGGACCATTTTCTTCATGCTGAATCTTTCTGTACTATGCATTTGAGCTAGAAAGCATGCTGCAGGATTCCCATCCATGTGAAACTCAGTGGGAAGGGAACCAAGAGGCTAGTCAACTATAAATTGCCCTTCAATGCCCTTCAATGTAAGGAAGCCCCCCCCCCTATTAATCTTCTGGAAAGAAATTATGCTCTTTCATCAGGCTTTAAGTCATAATGTACAGTGGAGACTGCTATCGTTATATGTTTTTGTTGGTTATATTTATTACATTTTCAAAGTCTTTATGACTATGTTGCTTATCATTTTTCCATTCTACTTTACTTTTTTAACCTGCCCAAAGTCTTATGATGAAGCACCACAGAAATTATGTAAAATAAATTATAAATAAATAAATAATCGATGAAGTACGCATTTAAATCAATTTTAAAAAGTAAAAAAAAAATCAAATTAAAATAAGTTTGAAAAAACTCCAGCTTTATGACTACATATCTAAGTACATTTTTCATAATCTTGGAAGATAAACTGGATTCCCTTCTAACAAACATTCCGAACATTTCTATGCAGGAGACTTCAATAACAGCTTTATTCTAGTTGTGTGAAAAATATTGTGTTCTGGGTATGGAACATTTGTTCCATTTTTCTTCCAGAATGTGTTAATTCAGCCATTCCAGGGGTTGAACTAGTAGTTTTCCAGAAGTAAGTCTTCTGGAACAGGAAACAGTCTGCAGTGTTTACTGTAAGAGCAAATGTACAGAAATGATTAACCAATTATCCTCACTCACTTAAATCTGACCATTTTTTAAGCAGGAACAAACAGGAACACAATGGAAAATACTCTGGCCCCTTTAAGAGACCCAGGTAACACTTTTCCATTTAAATTCAATTGATGGCTTGTGCTCTTCTTCTTCTTTTTTTTTGTTATCCTGCAATGGCTGATCCACCTTTACAGAAGATTCTATCAGTGGTGAAATGTAAAATTTGTTACTACCGGTTTGGTGGGGGTGGGTGGGGGGGGGGGGGGGTTTGTTAATGTAACTGGGTGGGCGTGGCCAACTTTTTTTTTTTACTTTTAAAAGCATTTTTTCTACAACCTTAAGAGGTTGCAGAAAAAATGCTTTTAAAAGCCTCTGATGATCCCAGCTGAGCCGCGCAATCATCACAGGCTGTTTTGGGTTGGGGGGGGGGCAGGAATTTTTGCTACCGGTTCTCTAAACCACCCGCCGCCATTGCTACCAGATTGGATGATCCGGTCCAAACTGGGAGCATTTCACCCCTGGATTCTATGAAGGCAAAAGAAAGCAAACTGCTGTGCCTTTTTGATTTGTGATTTTAAAAAAAGAATTCATCCAAAAGCTATTTTTTATATTTTTATAGTTCTGCTACAAAAGGAAGATTAAATGAATCTGAATATATGAATTAAAATTAGCCCTGCAGTGAGTGCCATCCTATTAGAAAGTCTTACCACATTGTTGTGTTTATAGTATTGGCTGAGGCACCATATGTTCAATGCTATAAAATCATTTCAAAGAAAGAAATGTCACCATTTCCATAATAAAGTTTTCCATAATAGGATGAGACCTTGGTGGCGCAGCAGACTAAAGCACTGTTAAGTAATACCAGCTGCCTGCAATTACTTCAAGTTCAAATCTCACCAGGCTCAAGGTTGACTCAGCCTTCCATCCTTTCGAGGTAGGCAAAATGAGGACCTGGTTTGTGGGGGCAATAAGATGACTTTGTATAAAAAAGAACACCGCTTGGAGGGGGGGCAAAAGCCTACTAAGCAGTATATACAAAAGTATGAAGGCTATTGCTTAACGCATTGTAAGCCGCCCTGAGTCTCCGGAAAAGGGCGGCATATAAAATCGAACCAAATAAATAAATAAATTAATTAAATAAATTAAAAACATATTCTGAGAAGATTCTTGAGGGATTGGTGGACATTTACGTGTACCACCAATTAGCCTCCTGAGGTTTTCTTTGAAACATCACCCTTGATGTTTAGAGGTTTCTTTTCCACTAAAGTGCCCTGTAATAAGAGTTGAAGATTTTTATCTTTCCTACCATTTTCCAATACTCCTGCACCACCAGTTGGTGAATGTCTATCTTGCTGTGTAAGTGATAAGCTATCTTGTCCTTCCAGAGATACATTTTTCTTCTGTTCTGAGTTGCTTTGTGAAGGAACTGGGCACTTTAAGACCTCTGATCTGGAAAAAAAAAAAGACAAACCGACAAAATAAACCAAATAGCAAGAAATCCAGATCAACATTAAAGATTTAAGTATGGCCTATTTTTTTCTTACCATCAAGGGACTTCACTTTCATTAATAATGTTATTTAAAGACTTGGACTAGAAATCTCTTCCAGCCCTATGATTTTATAGTTTGCATAGATCTAAAAAAAAAAAAAAATTCTGTCCTCCTAAAATGCCCTATCAAATAAGGTTGCTGGTGTCTATTCAATGGGTGAGTTAAAGGATAGGAATGCTTGCTGCCAAGGTATGAATATATCTCCTTCACCCAGATAATATAAGTTTCTTCCCGTACCTTTAAATGACTTACTTATCTACTCAAAATGAAAGTGAACCAACTGACAGTTTAGAAATGAAGTTTAATATATTAATTCAAATCATGGCCAGACAAATACTACCACAACAAAATCTCAGGTATTCTAGAGTATGTTATGGATTGTTTAAGCAGCAAATTTACATGTATGCGATCTGTGATCACAATTCAAAAACCTGAAATTTAATTCTTTGACTATTTCCTCCTTTTTCTCTTAATCCATCTCATGTTGATGTTTAGTAAATAAGTAAAAATATACAGATGTTCTAACTCAAGTAAAATATTAATTATTGGTATTCACAATTAATGATAACTAGCTCAGACTGGAGCCATCCTTTACTTGTATTTCAAATTTCAAAGATACCTGTTTACTAAGGTATCTCAAATTTATATCCTGAGATAAGAAATCTACATTTTTAAACCACTGTGGATAAATCATTTCCTACAAGATTTATTCAACATAGATAAGAGGAGGAAAATGTTGATTCTAAAAAAATTCTATTTAAAGAAAAAAAAAGCATTCCAAGAAAGAAACTAGAATATGCTCAAAGGAAACTGATCCTGTGGAGACATAGGAGATAACAACATTTTCAGTTATTTACATTTAAATAATTTGTAAAACATCATAAAGATGTAAATTATTTACACATAGATAAATAAAAACAAATGTAAAATACATAGTTTTCTATAAACTGCATATGATCTTCTGAGATCTAATTCAGGCTCTCACAATAGTCATTAACCCTCTCCATACACTCAAACCAGCCAATGTAAATCACAGAGCTCTGGATTACCCTCAAATGAGAAGATGTCCCCTGGGCAACATATTTCAGAGAGAGGAGATGCTTTCCTGTCTTGAAACTCTCCTTGTAAAGGAAGGAGAGTGGTTTTGTTTTAATGAAGTGCTTTAACTTTCTACTTTAAATGTAAAAACAAGCGCTGCCATTCTCACAGAAGCCTCTACTTTGGCCCTTTTTCATTAGCATTCAGAAAACCTATGATAAACAGTGAAGAAGACTGGATGATCAGCACTATGTCTGCGTGTAGCAAAGACAAGGACAGCAAAGGAAGGAAGGGTCACTCCTAGGAGCCTGGGAAGGGCATATGCCTTACAATGCTTTGTAACAAGGTTTCCATGGAGAAATTATTTATTTATTTATCGAATTTTTGAAACCACCCATCTCCCTCACAGAGAGACTCTATGAGAATGTCAAACAACAGACTTTATTCATTTCAAAGCTTTTCTCATGAAGATAATAGGAAGCTTGAGGAAAAATCTAGAAGCAGAAGTGACCCGATAGATTGGGACCACAATATAATGTCTGTGACTAATTGCTTTTTAATTAAGGCTCTTTTAAACGGCACTAAAACATTTAACTACAATTCATTTGAAGCAACAGCTTCTATCACTTAAAGTTAAAAGAGTTAGCAGAATTAGCGGAACTGGATAAAAAACTGTATTTACACATAAGTGCATGTGTTTACAGGGTCTCTCTCAGACTATTTGGGGTGATTAGCAAAGATGTGTGCCAACGGATGCCTACTTCAAACATCTGCATCATGTGTTGTTTTTAGTCCTTCCAAAATCTCCAAGTGGAGAAAGCATGGAGAAGAAAGAACAAAGAGGGAGGTTCAACCTATTTTTTTAAAGCACCTGAATGCATAACAAAAAGCAATGGATGGAAACTAATCAAGGAGAGGTCCAACCTAGAACTAAGGAGAAGTTTCCTGACAGGGAGAACAATCGATCAGTAGAATGGGTTGCCTTCAGAAGTTGTGGGTACTCCATCACTGGAGATTTTTAAGAAGAGATTGAACAGCCATTTGTCCAGAATGGTACAGGGTCTCCTGCTTGTGCAGGAGGATGGACTAGAAGACCTCCAAAGGTCCCTTCCAACTCTGAGCTGTTTGGTTTGATTTTCCAAAGGACAGACAGACCATATATCAAGTGGCAAGTAATTGAATTGAATTTAAATAATACCATAGCTAGGATGGCAGCTTCTCCTAAACTCCAAACCTGAACAGATCTGTCACTCTCCTTTTTAATGCAAAACTCCTTTAGTATAAGTTTATCCACTCTTTCATCTCCGCTTATTCTAGCCACTTTCAAAATTTTGCTCTTGTAATAAAACTGGAGTGGCTTCTCTGTGTGTGGCCTATCAAGTCCCCTCCCCCAATATATATCTTCCTTTTAGTTGGAAATAATAAGCACTAGTGTAAATATTGCTCAGTGAGTGGCTTCATCTCCTACACAGCATATGGTTGCATTTTAGTGATTCTTTATGTCTTTTCTCCTTTCTGTCTCTAGAAACACACACAGATAGAGAACAGATGTATACGTTCAACTTTTCAGTTTTTCACACAGTAATAAATAATATCCTAAACTTTCAACCTGTCTTTTCAATCTGCACAGTATCTGAAATAGACAAATTAGGCAGTTGCACCAGGAAATTAAATGCAGCTTGCTGAACTTAGTGAGTATATTTAAATTGACAAGACCAACAGGATATATATTGACTTCTATAGCAACAATACTCCAGGCATTTTTCCTGCTTTTTAGAACAATTCTTTTCCTACAAAAATAACATCACTGATTTCAGTTTTCCTTGATAATAGAATGATCCATTATATGTGAGGACCACTTTGGTAGCAGGAGGCTAGAAATGGAGAGACTGTGAGTTCGACCTCTACCTTTGGCATGAAGCCAACTGGCTGACCTTGGACCTGTCAGTTTCTCTCAGTCCTAGGCAACAGGCAATGGCAAATGACTTTCAAAATCTTGACAAGAAAAGTGCAAGGCATTAACCAGGAGTTAATGCCATCTTGAATACACACGTCTTACACATTGGCAAAAAGAATCAGAACACAAAATACAAGCTGAGTGGACGCGACCTTGTAGATGACCCTCACTCTTTCAAGGATCTTGGAGTACTCATATCAAATGATCTAAGTGCCAAAGCCCACTGTAACTACATTGCCAAAAAGGCATTAAGGGTTGTAAACTTAATCTTGCATAGCTTCTTCTCCGGTAATATTACACTACTAACCAGAGCATACAAAACATTTGCTAGACCAATTCTCGAATACAGCTCATCTGTCTGGAATCCACACTGCATGTCGGACATTAATACAATTGAACGTGTCCAGAAATATTTCGCAAGAAGAGTGCTCCACTCTTCCGCTCACAAAAAATACCTTATACCACCAGACTTGAAATTTTGGGCTTAGAAAATTTAGAACTACGCCGCCTTTGGCTCATAAAATCATCTGCTACAATATCCTACCTGTCAATGACTACTTCAGCTTCAAGCACAACAATACACGAGTACACAATAGATACAAACTTAAAGTGAACTGCTCCAAACTTGATTGCAGAAAATATGACTTCAGCAACAGAATGGTCAATGCCTGACTCTGGTTTCATCCCCCCCCCCAAATTTTAACCTTAGACTGGCTACTGTTGACCTCACCTCTTTCCTAAGAGGTCTGTAAGGGGTGTGTATAAGAGCACCAGCGTGCCTACCATCCCTGTCCTAATGTTCCCTTTAATTGTATTCATTTTATGTATTCAATTCATGCTTATACTTATAATATATATATATTATCTAATACATACTCAACAAAATAAAAAAATAAAAACAATAAATGCACACAAATCGATTATATATTTTTCAAAGGCCTATAAAAATACTACATAACATGACTGCCACATATCCATAATAAATGTCAGACCTGCCACAGCTTAAACCTCTACTTAGAAATTATCCTTGGATCCATTTATTGAGAAAGGTATAGTTAATTAGTGGTCAAGTGTATTGCAGAATGGCAAAGCCAGAACTGAAAATTGTGTGCTAAAATCCCTAGGTTCTACTTTTCCCTCCCTTAATGGTCTCTTATTGCCAATCCCAGTGATACCAATCAGATTCAGGCAAGATGTTTCCCTAATGGTCAGTCCAAGCATAGTTTGATATGTGGTCCACTCCTTCTTCCAGCTGGATGACCTTGAGGGAGCGTCTCGAGGAGATACAGCACCTACTTTTGTTTCCCGAAGCATTTCCCCCTCCAGTTCCCCTCCCCACAGTTCATGACTATCTGTCACTGCATAGCATTAAAAAAAAATTAAAATTCCCATGAGTCTATCTTGACCTATTGCATGCCCAATGCCCATGTCCCTTTGGTTTTCTTGACAAGAAACTGGAAATTGTTTGACATTGCCTCCTTCCCAATTTTTTTCTCAACTTCCCCATTGATCTATAAAATTCCTTCCTGCTCCTATTGTGCTCCAATGTTGTAAAACATCTGCCTACTGTTTTCCTTAACAGTCCTTTTTATTTTATTTTTTATTTTTTTAATTTGATTTATATGCCGCCCTTCTCCGGAGACTCGGTAGTCAATATCACCATCACCATCACCATCACCACCACCATCATAATCATCTTCCTCATCCCAAAAGGTACCAATGACAATCCATGTTCATGAGCCATATGGATGTTTCTTTGAAGCAACCAGAAGCCAAGCTCAGTTTTAAATAAACTTAGATTTTTCCAATTTTAATTTTCTCTTGATAAACATATTTTTCTTTTTAAAAAACAACAACAACTAGCATTTATTGGAGCATTTAGCATAAAGCAAATAGAGAGTAGG